AAAAGACGATTTACTACAACATATTGCTCTGTATGCAAATCATCAGCAATTTGTGGTGAACATCAAATTAAAGTTTGTAAAAACTGTGTTAATGAAATTTAATCTATTCCTTCTCTTTTCTTTAATAAAATGAACTGAATTTTCTTCTACAATCTTATACTTTATTTTAAAAATAAATTGTTTGATAAGAATTATCAGTTTAGACTGCAAAATGGCTCAAAATCGTTTTATATTAGGCGGATTCTCATTTCTGCGTAAAATTTACGCATAGTTGGTCTTAACGTAGTATAGAATGACGTTATGGTTCTAGGGTTAAGGTCAAGGCTTTGGATGTATTGTCCACGTGGAAAACGTTGAATCTTCGTGGCCACAATCATGCGTACTTCATATAAATATCTCTACCAGAAACTCGTAACAAGGTTTTGCACATCTCATCTGGTAGACCCGACATAACTTCTTCGTTCAAATATATCAACTCGTTCGGAACAATGCAACGTATCTTTGGATACATATACAAAATTATAAAATTGAAAAGATCACAGCTCACAGCTACACATATTCATCCTGGGACTCAATTGCTGATACGTCTAGTCCAAAGAGCGCAGTTGTGGTCAGAAATCGTCGCCTTGAAGAAGAACAATTTTGTACACAAATCAAGTAAAATCGCTTCGTTATCGCCATTTTTGGATGATATTGCAATCATACGAGTTTAAAGAATTCAGCACTGGACTTTGAGGGGCGTCATCCAATGATTCTACCAAAGAAGCGTCCATTAACCTCGTCAATAATCACTCATTTGCATCGAAAGTATCACCACGCAGGTCCTCAGTCTCTATATTATATATTATATATTTGGCCTATAGGTAGAAGAAAAACTATTGCGAGTGTTTTCCGAAAATGTGTCATATGTTGCAGATCGAAACCATGCCTCGTTGAGCACATCATGGCTGACTTGCCTAAGGAACGCATCCACGCATCACGGCCCTTTATCGTTACGGCCATAGATTACTGTGGACCATTTTATTTCAAACCCGAAACGGGTAAGAAAGCACCTCAAAAATGCTATGTTAGCGTATTCATTTACTTCGCCACAAAGGATGTGTGGATGGAGCTTTTGAAAGATCTTTCAACAGGCAACGAGCTGAAGGATTTACGCGAACTATTTCTTAGTGAAAATCATYGCAACCAATTTCACGCTTACTGCCTATTAGATTGGCGTTTTATACCTTCTCGATCACCACATTTTGGTGGTCTGTAGGAGGCAGCAGTAAAAATGGCCAAAAGGCACTTCTATCGCTATGTTGGTTCATCACTTCTTGGTTTTGAAGAATTACGTACCTTAGTATGTCACATCTCAGCAGTAATTAATTCAAGACCTCTTGGGCCACTTTCAGAAAATCCAGAAGATCTTGATGTACTGACGCCCGGACATTTTCTTATTGGTGGTCCTCTTATCGCTATTCCTGAGCCGAACCTCACGCATCTAAACTGCAATCCGTTAGATCGATGGCAGCAGGTTACCTACCTACAACAGATATTTTGGAAGCGATGGAGTGAAGAATATCTCACTATTCTTCAACAAAGAGCGAGGGGGCGTAAACCGCACCCAAACATTAAAGTCAATGACATGGTATGCATCAAAGACGAAAATTCAGCACCTCTTAAATGGCCCTTAGATCGTGTTAGAGAAGTTGTCACTGGGACAGACGCAAGAGTAGCCGTTCTTCGTACGTCTACCGGCATGACTCGTCGAGCCATCAACACACTGTTCGTTTTGCCCTTCAAAGATTCTTTTGATAGTTAGACCTTTCAACGGGTAGAGGATATTCGGAGCAGCTCTTTCACGATGAAACTACCAGAAATGAGTAGATTTAATCTTAAGTTATTATTTATACGGA